ATTTTAGGCTGTAAAGATCCCATAGGTTAAATTATCTTCTTAATAGCTTTTAGATAAGTGAATATTTTTCAGGTTCTTTGATTACAAATACAGGAAAATTCTAAGGACTGGTAGTTTCTTTGATGTGCTTAGCATCTAACTGTTCTCTATCAGTTCCTCAAGCGCCTGTAATTTTCTTTAGTTAAGGGCCATTGTCTTACCACACAGGTTTTATCTCCTTTTCTGTCCTTCAGGTCTATAGTTTAATCCACTTCACAGTTTGCTCCACCTGAGATAAGTTTTCAGCATCTAAAAGCCAAGTGGAGAGCTCTTGCAAAGGCCAATTGGGACTTTAAGAATTCTGAAAAGTTACAGATTCCTCAGCTTTAGCTTCCAGTGGGCCTGAATCTCAATGTCATTTACTTGCAATTTTAGCTTTGGCCTCACATCATTAATAACAGTTTGCCAAAACACCTTTTTAAAAAAGTATTTTTAAAACATTTTATTGTATAATAGGCTGCTTTACCTTTAGGATATGGGGACAACAATAATTGAGCAACTCTACCACCAGCTTCTATCTGCAAAGTCTTTCATGCATAAGACATCTATAAAGGTATAAAAACAATCTTACGGATTTTAGTGGTAACTTTAGGCGATACTTATGGAACATTTTGATAAAATCTTAAAAAGAGGACCCTTCTTAAAGATCCCAAGTAACATGTTAGTGCAACTTGTCACTTATTAACAGTGTGGCTCAAACAATTTACCTATATTTTATTTAATGGAGAAACAATTTTGTAACCTCTTTGTCAGTAAAAGATTACTTCTGTGAGCTTTTAACTTAGTAGCCATATTATCTAATAACCCAACTTGTTTCAAGCGTTGCATTTTTATAGAATTAAACCAAGAATTTTTAGAAAGCAACTTAAAGAACAGGGTCATATTTTCAGTAATGATAAACAGACAAGATCATACCCAATAATATAGTTTAAAATCATGAATCCTGTTCTTTTAGTTCATTTACCGTGAAAATTAAACATTTATCTAAACATTAATTAGACAATCAAGAGAACATCTTCTATACAATAAATGATTAATATCTTTGGGAACTAAAATAGCATTGACTTAATAGTTTATGCTCTGACCGCAATTGTTCTTAACAGAAGCTGGGCTTGTTTGAAATCTTCCTTCTCCCAAGAACAGACTATTGATAGTGAATTATTCCCACTATTAGGGAAAAATAAAAACATTTCTCATGATGAGACCTTTAATATTGAGTTCTTCCCATTCTGAGGGAAAAACAATAACAAAATTTTTAACTAAAGTTAAGCAAACAGCAAAATTCTTGCTGAGCTCGCTCAGGCTGCAGCAGTGAGGCCTGGAGCGGCATTTCATTTGTATTTTAATAAATAAAGCTTGCCTGAAGATCTGAGAGTAAAACAGCCCCACTGGTCAGCCTCACAGACTAGACAGTGGTAGCACACGCCTTTAATCCCAGTAGCCACACTAGTTGCCATAGAAACCAGGCAGTGCGTGCCTTTAATCCCAGTGGTGCATGCCTTTAATCCCAGCCCTAGAGAGGATTATAAAACGGGAGGAAACAGCTCTCAGACACACTCTCATTCTGAGGTTTCGTGGAGGCAGAATCGCTACTTCGGACTGAGGTAGAGGTAAGAGCCAGTGGCTAGCTGCTTTGCTTTTCTAGTCTTCAGGGTGAATCCTAATACCTGTCTCTGAGTTTTTATTATCATGCTTCAGAGGCCCACCTGTTGTTATTCAGATACAGCAGCTCTGTGCTGACCCACCTCTGAAAGAGCTGACAGGCAGCCTGCAGCCATAGGGAGGGAGCTCTGATTTTTAACTAGTCTCAATTTTTTATATTGGAAAGAGCCTTTTTCCTTTCTCTATATCAACTGGGAAGAGATTTTTTTTTCTTTCCTTTATTTTCCTCTTATGGAGCCTTTTAATTTTTAGGCCTTGATTCAATATTTTTCCAGGAAAATCCTTTTTCTTGACAAATCACTTCTCCTTTTTCCTTCGATAAATTTCCTTTCCTTCCCTCTTCTCTATAGGGAAGATTTTCTTACTTTCCACTTTTTCTACTGGGAAGTTTCCTTTTTCTCTTTTTTATTCTTTGCTGCAGGATCTCTTGTATTGCTTTCTTTAAAAAATGTGCAGAAGCATTTAGCAACTGTGCATTTTGTTGCTCCTGAGATGGGAGTTTAAATTCTCCATGACCCTGCCCATCCTGGAGTCCTCCTCTTATCTGAGAGTGTTCCTTCCAGTTCTCAATGTGGCTGGATTCTCTGTTTTCATGCCAGGCATTGGGCACCAACGTTGTGTGTAACGTGGCGCGGGTGTGTGGGTTCATGGGGGTCCGTGAAATGAAGACTCAGAGACACCTCGAGAATGAATTTAGCCTTTGTGGCTGCAGGGACCTCAGCCTTGGTGAGCTGAAGAGCTTTCCCTTTGCCTCTTGGAATCTTTATTTTTTCCTATATTTACACTTTAGCTAGTAGATTTTCATATCTCAAAACAAACTGAAGTTTCCGAAAATATAATGCCAGGTGCAAATACCTGATTCATGAGGCACCAAGGTTTTCCCAGTTTCCTCTAAACCAAGTTCTGCATAGGCTTTGTATCCATGGGAGACTCTCAGACAAGATTCACTAGGACAACAAAAGTATCTGTAACACAAAGGATGGATTAGACGCTGAGTTAAAACTCCCCAGCTAGGCCAGTTGTACATAGCCCAGTGGGGTTCCATGGCTAGTGGAGGTTGCTTGCTGTCCCTCTGGCTCCAGGTCAGCGGGACATGATGCCACATTGCCCTTGAACTGATGGTCCCGTGTCATCCTCTAGAGTAGCTCAAGGTATAAGCAAGAGATGTCTATATATTCTCCTAATCTGCTGATGCCCCAATAAGTCCCTAGGGGCGAGGGCATCTGATAATGTCTGAAGACAGTTGTTATAGACACCACTGAGTATGTCAGGATGCTAAACTTCATATAATGCAAAGGACAGTCTCCCACAACAAAGAAAAAATTGCCTTCTCTCTCTCTCTCTCTCTCTCTCTCTCTCTCTCTCTCTCTCTCTGTCTTTGAAGTCAGGGTTTCATTGTAACTTTGGAGCCTGTTCTGGAACTTGCTCTTGTAGATCAGGCTGGCCTCAAAGTCACAGAGATCCACCTGCCTCTGCCTCCTGAGGGCTGGGATTAAAGATGTGTGCCACCTCTGCCCAGCTAGAATTGCCTATTCCTAAACATCAATTGTATCAAAGTCAAGAAATCCTGATGCAGATGTGAGAAGCCCCCTTTTGAGTTGTTGGTCAGGGTTGTCCAAAAGATTCACAAAACATTCAAGACTATTGTTACTGCCTTTGGTTGCCTCCCAGAGGTAGAGGGTAAATCCCTATTGCCGAACACACCATGTCCACTCAGACACTGGACCCAGAGTATCCTGAGCTGGAATTGATCCAAATGCCTCCCCCCTGAGGACTAAGATTCATGGTCATACTGTTATGCCCAGATCCATGAAGTTCCCCCAAAACAACAAGGAGACCGAATCCCATACGTAAAAGCAAAGAGTCTTTACAAGTTCGCAAACTCGGTCTCTCCATGTGTCTGACATATTGGGATAATCGGCGAGCCCTGAGCTCAGTTGAGGTTGGGTTTTTATAGTGACAAAGGTAGGGGTGAGGGATTTCTAAGGTTCAGGACCCCTGATTGGCTGACATCTGTCTAGGGGTTTTCTGGCGAATCCATGCTGGCAGATAATCCTATCTACAACGGGTTGAAACATCAGAAATTTCCTTTGGATGGTCTGTTCCTGTGTGGTCCCTGGGTGGTCTCAGTTTATGGTCTTTCTTGCCTTAGGGAAAACTACTGAGACTCAGGCCTCTATTAAGCTTATCATGGCTGGGTCCTACACTTACAAGCTTCCAACAGAGGGAAGCCGCCAACAGTTCTACCCAGCCGTGACACCTGTGAAGCACAATGACCAGTGTGGCATCAAACCCCTACCAGTGCCACCGTGGCACAAATGGTGACAAACAGCTCTGTAACTGGACTGAAGACCCGCTCAGCAAGGGGTTAATCACCCCTGCTGCTGGAAACCTAGCCAACTAATGAAGTCAGATCTCCGAGGAGGATTTCCAAGCTCCACCTAACTAAATCAGCAAAACCCCTCACTCTGCTCTAAACATGTGTCTTATACCCACAGATAAGTGTAGTTCTCTCCCTTCATCAAGGAAACTTCGCTCTGCAATAGATGGGGACCATTACAGAAAAACCCAAGCAATCAAAGCACAGAGTTGTGGAGCCCAGTCCCGGTGGATTTATGTACACCCCACCTCGAAGCTCTGTAGCCTGAACAGAGGAGAGCCTGGCTTGATTGGAAAATGGATGGCTCTGGGTCTCAGGTTGTGGCTGAGCCTAAGTCATCTGGAAAGAGGGAAGTTCTGCCTCCTATAATGACAACTGGAACAGCTTCCATGTCCCCTAAATTGAGGAAAGTAATACCCAAACTGCCATTTTAAAGGGTGTATTGGCATTTCATTTGAATTTTAATAAATAAAACTTGTCTGAGGATCAGAAAGGTAAAACAGTCACACTGGTCAGCCTTAGAGACCAGGCAGGAATGACACACACACACACTAGTTTGCACAGAAATCAGGCGATAGTGGTGCTTAATCCCAGAACGAGAGAGGATTATAAAATGGGAGGAGACAGCTCTCACAGACAGTCTCATTCTGAGGTTTCCTGGAGGTGGGATCACCATTTTCAGACTAAGGTTGAGGTAAGAGCCAGTGGCTGACTGCTTTGTTTTTCTGGTCTTCAGGTTGAACCCCAATATCTGTCTTTTATTAATCTTGCTTCAAAAGGGTAAAAAGGACAACAGTTTGGGTTGGCTTCCTTCAGTTAGTCCCACCCCTTGGACCTCTCAGAGTTCAGAGTCCGGTGGCAGCTGAGGGCGGGCCCTTGGCTCTGGGGTGTGGTCACCAGCACCCAAAGGAGCCAAGACGGGCAGTACCTGCTAAACAAGCTTAGTTAAGTTATTCCCATGGCCTGAAGGGGCCTGTCGACAGGACTGGGGATTCCAACCCTGAAACAGGGTAATCTGTTGCAGCCCTTCAGTGTTTCCAGCCCTGGGCAGTGTTTCAAAGTGTGTCATCCAGGACCAAGAGCCTGTGGAGGGATTGCAGGGTCCTGGGAGACAGGATCCAGGATCTGGGTGAGCAGCCATCTGCAGTGGGTGCTGCACAGGGGTGTTGCTGTAACTTTAAAAAATGCTGCATAGAGAACCATGCAACAAGATTCACATAGGAGGTTTATTGGAAGAGGAGAGAAAAGGGCAGAATAGAGGGCAGAGAGTAGGGGGCAGAGGCTGGTCCCTGGGGACAAGAGAAAAAGAGAGAGGGAGAGAGGGGATGTGGAGAGAGAGAGAAAAAGAGAGAGAGGAGATGGGAGTTGGGCAGGCCCAGCCCCCCCCTTTTTTTTTGCAGAGAAAGTGGTTATTTATTTAGTGGGTTATGGAAGGGAAGGGGGGAAGGGGAGAGGGAGGAAGAAGGGGGACGAGGAGAGAGAGGTAGAGAGGGAAAGAAAGAGAGAGAGAGAGAGAGAGAGAGAGAAAGGAGCCACAGCAGCAGCCACTTACTTCCTCCAAAGAGAGATGGAAAGGAAGAAATCAGGCCCACCTTTTAAAAGGGAAAGCAGCAAATGTGCACAGGAGCTGCTCTCAGTGGCTGCAGCTGAGGACGGATCCTGTCAGGACCCCAGGGGCAGGCCAGGGCAGGCTCTTGAATGCTAGCTAACAGGTGTCCCTACCCCTTTTCCCTTCAGAGCCCGGGCTTTCTGCCTGCTGCCCACCCAGTGTACCCAGACAGCATGCTGGCAGTGTACTTTGACCAGCCAGGTGGACCAGAAAATCTCTACCTCAAGGAGGTGGCCAAGCCGAGCCCAGGAGAGGGTGAAGTCCTCCTGAAGGTGGCAGCCAGTGCCCTGAACAGGGCTGACTTACTCCAGGTACCCAAGGGTTCCACCAAGCAGTGCAGGGTGGGCTCCAGGGCTCAATCTCTGTCTTCAGTGAACTGACCAGATAGAAAAAGCAGGGACTGGGGTGTTGCCCACAACACCCATTAGAACAGCTGTCCTGGGGGTTCTGAGGCCCAAAGCTAAGTGGCCACTTTGTTCCTGTAAGTGAGGGGCTGTGCCGAGGGTGTAGCTCACTGGGCGAGCCTTTGCCTAACATGCTCCAAGCCCTGGGTGATCCTCCACAGCAAAAACAGGGGTGTTTGCAAAGCACAGCCCACTATGTGTTCCCTCATCATCTTCCTGGGCATCCCGGAAAGGGGCAGGGAAGTACCATTTGTTGACACAGGAGGGTGGGGTGGGGGGGGGACAGCTGCCCCTAAAAACTCGACAGACAAGCCTATTTATATTTTACAGATAAAGGAAGACCTAGAACAAAGTTAGACATGGTCCCTTCACAGTCTTAATGACTTAATCTAGACTGCTGTGCCCTTGGAACCCAAACTGAAAAAAAAGTGCTTGTTAATTAAACTTTGGTTAGGATTTTTCTCTTATAGGCCTTGAATTTTACCCAGTTAATTCTAAAGCCTAGTTAGAGTATTACCCTTTTTTAAACAGACTCTTTTGAAAATAGGCTGGCTTCCAGGTAACCCAGGAACAGCCAAGGAAGCAAACTGACCCAATGCGGTCTGATTAATAAATTACAATGTAAATAACCTCTCACCCATACTCCTGTAAGTAACCCAAACAAACTGACTGGCTTGGAAAAGAAAAGTTACAGTCCAACCAAAAGAGGGAATGCTAATGGGCAACTTTTATTTATTTGTTGTTTTAATTTTTCACTTTAAAATTGTTTTAATAATTTTAATGATAATAATAAAATAAATAATAAAAATAGAAGTAAAAAAATGGTTTTAACCCTACACAGACCAGGATGGTCTCATACTTGAGATCGTCCCAACTCGGTCTCCAGAATGTTCACCACTGATGTAGCCTACAATTTTAATAATGAATGATCCCAGCACTGTGGAGGCTGAGGCTGGAGGATTGCCTCAAGTTTGAGGCCAGCCTAGGCTTCAAAGAAAGAACTTACGGTGGTGGTGGGTTGGTGGGTAAACCAACAACTAGAAAAATGAAATGAAGTAGGGCCAAAGACGTAACTGTGGTAGAAGATTTGCTTAACATGCTCAAGGTCCTCGGCACCACAAAAACAAACACGCGAAAGGTAGCAGATTATACAAGGAAGGGTAAGGCACAGTTCAGTCGCAGGCTGTGGGTTTGATACTTTCTACCGCAGCCTCCTTCACAGTTGAGCTGGCTGGGGTCAACCAGAACTGTGCACCAGGGGTGAGGACGGTGACTCTGTTGGTGAACCGTGGTAGAACAAGCACGAGGACCTGAGCTTGGTCGGCCAGGCCAATAATTAAAACCCAGGTGTGCGGACTGGAGAGCTGGCTCAGCGGTTAAGAGCCCTGGCTGCTCTCCCAGAGGACCTGGGCTCTTCCAGAGGACCTGGGTTCGATTCCGAGCACCCACATGGAGTTACTGTCTGTAACTCCAGTTCCAGGGAATCTGGCACCCTCCCGTAGACATAAATGCAGGCAAAATTCACATAAAGTAACCTTAAAAATAAAGGTGTGTGTGTGCGCACCTGTCATCCCAGAAACAGGAGAAACCCCCAGAGATAGGAGAATCCATGGAGCTTGCTGGCCAGCCAGTCTAGTTGAACAAGTAACTCTAAGCGTCAAATATAAGGTGGCAAGCACTCAGTATTGACCTCTGGATTCCATATGCATCCTACACACATATGTGCGTGTACACCCCCCCCCACACACACATACACACACAGAAAGAAATGGGTATCAGAATCAACTGGTGAACTTTTTAAAATGAACATGTCGGGACCAGGCAATTGTAGTCTGAAAGGGTTCTGATGTAAAACCCCATTTATGTCCTTGTGGTCTAAAGCATTTGAGACCCAGGGTAAGTACAGTTTGTCATTCAATAAATTACAATGATGGTGAAAATTCCACGGTTTTGTTCCCAGTCTCTTTAATAATTTACTTTGCAATCTTGGACAAACCATTTCCCCACCCTGGTCTCTTCCTTTCTTTCTTCCTTTGTACAGGACTTGGATAAACTAACTAGCTGAGGACTCTATCAGTTGTGGTACTCACTGCTATTTGTCACCTGAAGCCTTTAATTTACATAAACCAAGCCATTTCCCTCTCCTTTTTCCTGACTTACAAAACTGGACTTCCCTGAGTGGTGGTAGCATACACCTTTAATCCCAGCACTCAGAAGACAGAGGCAGGCTAATCTCTGGGACTTTGTGGCCAGCCTAGTCTACAGAGTGAATTCCGGGACTGCCATGGCTATACAGAGAAACCCTGTCTTGAAAAACCAAAAAAAAAAAAAACCCAAAAATAAATAAAAAAAACAAAACCCAAACTGGAACTGGACTTCATGGTTGGAGGGAGTGAGCCACTCATCATTGGCACTCATTGGTTCCTAGCTGCTCGGCCCCAAAATAACCACACAGAAACTGTATTAATTAAACCACTGCTTGACCCATTAGCTCTAACTTCTTATTTGCTAACTCTTACATCTTAATTTAACCCATCTCCATTAATCTGTGCATCATCACGAGGTCGTGGCCTACCAGCAAAGTTTCAGCATTCTGTCTCCAGGCGGCTCCGTGGCTTCTCCTGACTCTGCCCTTCTTTCTCCCAGCAAACAGTCTAGCTTTCCTCACTGAGTTCTGTTCTTCCCTGCCATAGGCTCAAAGCAGCTCTTTATTCCTTAACCAATAGAAGTAACACACAGACAGAAGGCCCTCACACATCACTTCATCCTGACTTTTCTCTGAGAAGAGGAAGAGCTGTTAGAGGTCCAGGGATGCGGCACACACAGGTTTCCGGTGACCACCTCCCTGATGCATACGCCTCTCTTTCTGCAGAGACTGGGCCAGTATGACCCGCCCCCAGGGGCCAGTAGCATTTTAGGACTTGAAGCATCGGGACATGTGGCTGAGCTGGGGCCTGGCTGCAAGGGACACTGGAAGACTGGGGATTTGGCCATGGCTTTGCTCCCTGGTGGAGGACAAGCTCAGTATGTCACTGTCCATGAAGATCTTCTTATGCCTATCCCAAAAGGACTGACCCTGTCTCAAGCCGCAGCCATCCCAGAGGCCTGGATTACTGCCTTTCAGCTCTTACATCTGGCAGGTGAGGATGCCTGCTGCTAACTTCACACAGCAGGCCTCACCCCCTACGGAGCCAACCTCCCTAAACCTCAGCAGACCTCTGGGATACCCTCTCCAAACCCCAGCAGCCCTCTAGGACACCCAGCACCAACCAGCCTACCCCACCTTTCTGTATCAGGTCATCAAACCATGTTAAAATGGCTTGATACAGGGGCGGTGAGAACTATGGGTAGCAGATGGGAGGTCTATGAATATCTTAACACAAGACCTGGAAGCAATATGCACCTCAAATCATGCAGGCTTCTCTTTGGGGCCCAGGGCAATAGAAGAGGCAGACTAGGGGTGTATCTCAGTGGTAGATCATTTTCCTAGCATGTTCAGGGGCCTGCATTTGATCCTCAACTTTGAAAAAAAAAGGAAAGAAGAGAAAAAAAGGAAGAAATACAGCCATAGAATTTGGGAGAATAGCTCTCTCTCTATCAGCAATTGAAGTCTGAGGTGGGAAAACCTGATGTAAGCAGGGGTGGCTTTTTAGGAACAAAACGACCTGGGCTGTGGTAGACAAAATAAGCATCAAGGCAGACCAAGAAAATCTCAAAGGGAGGGCAGCCACTGCTCTCAGAGATGAGGGATGGTTGCTGTCCTTAGTAAAAGATGAGGTTTGGTAGATCGAAGGCCTTGAATGCCAGGCTGTTTGGACTCAGTGCAAAACCAAAAAGTCACTTCCCATTTTGAGAAAAAAAAATATGCTAAAGAAAGCTCCATTTGGAGTGGAAGAGTCTGGTGTCTATGTGCAACACTTGAGTCAGTAAGACCACCTAAAGGCAGATTCAGACTGAAGGAGGACTGGCTTCAGGTAATGACAACGGGCAATGGGGGCTTCTCTTGCTTTAAAAAGTATGTACGTAGATACACGCATTGGGTGTTAGTTCGCATTTCAAACAGAGATAATAGATGTGGCTACCAATAGTTTTGTAACTAAAGTCCATTTCCCCCTTGATCAGAGACAGTAAGAGAAAAGAGAAAGGAGAGAAAGACACATACAGAGAGAACTGTCAATGTATTCCTTCAGAAAACAAGTTATTTGGCATTTGATCCAAGAGTTGGGCGATGAGGATAGGCTATTTCTATAGTTGGACAGAAGGGATAACAGCGTCTGTACTCTCCATCACAGGCCATGTTCAAGTTGGAGATTATGTGCTGATCCATGCAGGATCGAGCGGTGTGGGCACAGCTGCCATCCAGCTGACTCGGAAGGCTGGCGCTATTCCTCTGGTCACAGCTGGCTCCCCGCACAAACTTCAAATGGCCGAAAATCTTGGGGCTGCTGCTGGATTCAATTACAGAGAAGATTTTTCTGAAGCAACACTGAGATTCACTAAAGGTAACTCACTCAGCAGATATAAAAAAATGGTTAAATGAAACCTTCATCTCCATGGTTGCTGAAAGAACTGTAGCTGCCCTGGACAAACTGGTGTGTTCTGGTGTTTGATTACTAGAGACTAGCACCCAGCACGGGGCTTCTAAGATTATTTCAGTGTTGTTCATATCCATGCAGGGCTAGAACTCCACCATCAAGAGCTACATCCCTAACCCACAATGTGTATTCTTGTAAGTGACATGGTTCATACATGTTTAGAAACTGCATAATCACACAGAGTTGTTCTAGAATTATCCAGGGCCCATTCTTCCAAAACAGCCACTCGATAGCGAGGTAACAGGAAGCCTGCAGCCCAGACTAATGAGATGGTCAAAGTTGGGTTGGGGTGAGAACCCCATAAGCAGGCAGGCAGGCAGGTGTGTGCGCGCGCATATGTGCGTATGCCAAATCTGGATTTTTTTTTTTTGAAGACAGGGTTTCATATATCCAGGCTGGCCTCAAACTCACTATAGCTAAGAATGACCTTGAACCTCTGATTCTCCCGTTTTTATCTTCCCAGTGCTGGGATTACAGATATATGCCACCTTATCTGGTTTATGTGATTCTGGGGACCAAGTCCAGGGTTTTATGCACGTTAGGCAGACACCACCAATTGAGCTACAACATAGCTCAAATCTGACTTTTTCCTCCCATTCATCTTTTTCTGTTTTCTTGTGGGTAGAAAAGGAAAGACGAGAACAAAGTTAGCAAGCTATGACTGATACCCAGGGCAGACTTTCTAATTTAGATGTGGACAAGCATCTGCTCTGTGGCCTGGAGTAGATTTCCTCTTTTCTACTCTTACTCAGCCTGAATGCTGGTGGGACTATATTACTTGGGTGAGGGGGGGAGTGAGGTGAGATACCAGGTCTAGGATGAGGTGGGGACTGGGGACTGGGGACTCAAATGATGCACTATATTACAATGCTGTTATAGAGTAATTCCATTTACAACAATATTTCTATGGCCAACGTTTTTAGTCCCACCTGTACATGTATTAACTTGTTATTTTGAGGCAAGTTCTCACCATGTACCCTAGGTCAGCCTCGAGCTTGATCCTCCTGCCTCCTCCTCCAAGTGCTGCAATTACAGGCGTGCATTGCCACACCTATATTTATTTTTACCCACATTCCCACAGATACACCATGAAATCGTATTTGTACCAATTCTTGTGTCTAACATTACTATCAATCTTTCCCCTTTGGAAGGCGTTGGAGTTGATATTATTCTAGACTGCGTAGGTGGATCCTATTGGGAGAAGAATGTCAACTGCCTTGCTCTTGACGGCCGCTGGATTCTCTATGGTTTAATAGGAGGCGCTGATGTTAATGGGCCCCTGTTTTCAAAACTGCTTTTTAAGCGAGGCAGTCTGATCACCAGCTTGTTGCGACCTAGGGATATCAAGGTGAGTGGGAGAAGAGTCTGTCACCCAGAAAAATGTTGTACAGACCCAGTCATAGGGAAAGCCCATAAAGAAACCTGCTATCTTGTGGACAGATGTGTCAGAGAAATATTCAGATTAGCCAGCAGAAACCTCCGGCATATCCATCTCATGCTACACACACACACACACACACACACACACACACACACACACACTCTTTCCATCAGGATGAACAAAACAGTCGAGGCTTTGTTTTCAGGGTAGATCTCTTCTCAGTGTACTAAGAAAGTCTACTAGGTAAATAAGCTTACACCTTCAACAAATTTCTGTTCCTTAAAGTCCTCTGTAGCATTCTAGCAGGCGCCAGCTTTAGGAATGTTATTTCATCAGTTTCGCACCCCATGGGGAAGATAAGGCTTGAGCAACCCTTTGTATCGACACTATGTAAGTCTGTCAGTTACACTAGGGTTTTACTGTATCTTACCTGATACAGATTGAGGTTGCTCGTTTCAAAGCATGCTCTTTCATATGGGAAGTGAAGGGGTGTGCTGTTTCAGATGCTCAGACAGGATGGGGCATGGCAGGGTAGGGCCTCTCTTCAGGTTGATGTTCTTTTCCTTAGTACAAGCAAGCGCTGGTGAAAACTTTCACGGAGCAGATTCTGCCCTACTTCTCCGAGGACTGCCCCCAACGTCTGCTGCCGGTGGTGGATAGGGTCTACCAGGCGATTGATATTCGAGCGGCCCACGAGTACATGGAGGCTAACAAGAACGTGGGCAAAATCGTCTTGGAGCTGCCCCAGTGAAGGAGGACTCCGGAGCAAACTTGGGAGTGGCTTCTACTCCCAGGACCGCCCCTGTAAAGCTGGTGTAACGAAATAAAAGAGGAAATGTGCAGAAAAAGGGAGGTGTGCTTTCTGTCGGTGACCCAACACGAAGACGTGGGGAGGGGGGAGTCCGGACTATCAGACGGACGGGCAACCCGAGATCCAGGCCCAGCACTACCGCTCTGGGTAAGGATCAGATTCAGAAACTTGTAGGATGCTCTAAGCACGCTGCGAGCGCGCCACGCCCACCTCCGCGTCCGTCCGCAGCGCCTCGCCGCAGCCCATGGGGCGGGCTCCTCAAATAGACCCCGCCCCGCCCCTCGGTCCTCCAGCCCCGCCCCTTCAAACAGGAACACCTCCCTCCCCGTAGCCTTCGCTCCGCCCCTTCCTGTCCGCTCTCCGGAAGCGTCTTGGAGCTCGCCTTTTCGTCTTCCGGTCTGAGAACGCACGCAGTAGTTTGGTCTGGAACATCTTTTCGAGGACGTCGACACGGCTTAGTTTGAGGCGCGGGCTTCCCGGCAGCGCTGTGACAGCTTCCGGCGCTGCCTGGCTGTGGGTACTCTGTGTCTGGCGCCCTGTCGCCCTCGACGGCAACCGAGCTTTAGAGACACTCAGAGGAATCCCACGGTTACCTCCCACAGCTCGCCAAGATGGCGATGCAAGCGGCCAAGAGGGCGAATGTGAGTACCCGCTTTCCGCGCGGGTGGGGAACGATCGCGGGGCTTGACTGTGGCAGCGTGGGGCGGGGGGAGCGTTCTTGTCCTCCGCCCACAGGCGGGGAAACCCGTGGCCTGTTCGGTCAGAGGAGTGTTTCCCCTGGTCTTATCCTCCGGGGTGCTTTCCTTGAGCGACTTTTCGCCCCCGCCCCTATTGAGAGCCCTCTGGTATCACTGACAGCGTAAAATCTACAATCTCTGCTGCTGCTTGACCTCACCAGGATCAGGCGTTAGGACCTCCTGAGTCTAACAAGTCGATAGCACAGTCGTTCTCAGTAACTCAGTACTCAGTTCACTACCAGCCTGGGATTTTTCTCTCACGTAGAACTCTCTTATCAATATTTAAGCACCTGCCGTGTCTCTGGTTTTACAGATGGGAAGCAGTTCTTCAGTTGTATTTGTTTAACACCTACTATGTGCCACACGCCAGTGTTAAGTGTTGGGGACACAACAGTGGATTAAATAAAAACTCATTCTTATGTCCTACTGTTGGCAGCGAGTGAAGTGTTGCCAACATCTTTAAGAAAAAAATAGAGAGTAGGCAACGGTTAAAACTTTTAGAATTACACCTACACAAAGACAGATAATTGACCATTGGGTATGCTGATGAAGATTTTGCCTACCTTGATCATTTGAATCATTTCGATGAATGAAAACTTGGTTCCTATAGGGTGAAAAGATGGTGGGAATTAAGAAAAAGAAAACTGCAAAGAGTTGGTCCTCTGAGTTTTCTTTCTTTTTTCTTTTGTTTTGAGACAGTGTTTCCCGTGTTGCTTTGGAGCCTGTCCTAGAACTCGCGCCACCACTGCCCAGCATGGATTTTCTTTTTAGAGAAATTGAATTGTTCTAAAGATACTTAAAGTACATTTTATATGCAAACAAGAATGCACCAATAGAATGGGAGAAACCTGATAAAAGAAGAAAGATGTATTAAGTTCAGGATTAAATCTGGAAATGTGGCTCAGTGGTAGTCCCTGAATTGGATTCCAAGCACCTCAAACTACAACAGAAAACGAAAATAATTAAAGAAGTGATTTTGAGTGGATGAGTGGTTGGTATAGCAGTAGAAGAAAAATGGAATGGATATAGATGAATATATAATACCATTTGGTCATATCCTGGGTTGGCAGGGAAGAGTATACAGCCCTTTCAAATTCTACAGGGCATGATGATGGTGAGGTTTTAGGAGAGAGAAGAGTGTTTTGAAGAGCAAGAAAGCAGATTTATTAAGAGAAATATATTTCTGTCTTGCAGTTTTTGATTATAAAACTGGGGAGGGTCTTTATCATCACTACTCATTTGACGCTAGGGAATAAAGCTTTTTTTAATTTATATTTATTATTGTATTGTGTGTGTATGTGTCACACATAATTGACTATATTAGCAAAGAGTAGCTATGCGTTATCAGTGTGGAATAAGGAACGTGAAGAGTGATGGTTATATAGCGTGAAAAGGAACAAACTATGGGACAATTTTTTTTTTCTTTTTTTGGAAACAGGGTTTCTCTAGCTTTGTCCTGGAACTCTCTCTGTAGACCAGGCTGGCCTCGAACTCACAGAGATTTATTTGCCTGTCTCTATCTCCCCAGTGTTGGGATTAAAGGCGTGCGCCACCGCCTGGCTGGGACAATATTTTAATGTGAAGGATTGTGAAGAAGTAGAGGTGTTGGGAGGAAATGGAGTATGGAGGAGGAACAAGAGTCAGGCACCTCAGAGTTTGAGAAGTGAACACTGGAACCTTAGTAGAATCACTTTCAGCAGACTGCTGGGTGGTAACTAGGTCTGGTTGTCTAAGAAATAAAGAATATGAGTTGGTGAGTAGAGATGTCCCTCTTCTACTTGACTGAAAAAGAACAAAGCAAGATAAAGTAGAAAGTCAGGGAAGCCAGACACCTTGTCTGCTCTTCAAGGTGTCTCTCCAATACCTAGCCCACTGTGCACACTAAAAAGGCAGTTAGTGGGGCTGGAGAGATGGCTCAGTGGTTAAGAGCATTGCCTGCTCTTCCAAAGGTCCTGAGTTCAATTCCCAGCAACCACATGGTGGCTCACAACCATCTGTAATGAGGTCTGGTGCCCTCTTCTGGCCTGCAGACATACACATAGACAGAATATTGTATACATAATAAATAAATATTTTTTTTTTTTTAAAAGGCAGTTAGTAACTATTTGAGAGTAAGTGAAGAGGACTCTAATGTTCCGTTTCCTGTGGGCATTGGGAGGACCAGGTTGGCTGCTCACGTAAGGACTAGAAACTGGTTGCTAGGGAAAGCCTGAAAGAACAAGAGAGTAGTTATTGACGCAAGTTCTTAAGACATAAGAAAACTTATGAGTGGGAATTTACCCTCTTTTCTGTCCCAGGGGAATGAAGGAGACTGAAGTGGGAAATACTTGTTAAATTGGAGAGGCCAAAAGCCTGTTTCAGTTCCTGCTTAGAGTATCCCTCTATGTGGTGCTCTGATGTTTTTTGAAGAATATAACCACTTTGAATAGCATCAGATTATAGTTCTTATTCTTGGCGTCTTATTTTACATCATTGAGTTCTTCTTAATAACAGCACTGCTCCTTCAGTATAATGACACATATTTCTCATTTTAGATTCGCCTCCCACCTGAAGTAAATCGAATTTTATATATAAGGAATTTGCCATATAAAATCACAGCGGAAGAAATGTATGATATATTTGGGAAATATGGACCTATTCGTCAAATCAGAGTGTAAGTCTTTTTTTTTTTTTTTTTGAGACAGGGCTTCTCTGTAGCTTTGGTGCCTGTCCTGGAACTAGCTCTTGTAGACCAGTCTGGCCTCAGACTCACGGAGATCCGCCTGCCTCTGCCTTTTGAGTGCCGGGATTAAAGGCGTGCTCCACCACTGCAGAGTATAAGTCTTACTGAGACTTGAAATGTCCCTTATAGAGAATGGTTGCCTAATCTCTAATTTCAGATTTGTGGCTGGCAGCAAGACTGCTGGGTAGAATGTAGTGATGTGTCTGTTTCATAGTGAGACTACCAAGGCCCATGGTAAAAGACCTTTCTAGTACCATGGAGTGTTTAGTGATAAAATCTTTTAACCCTGAACTGAACTGTTAAACTAGCTATACAGTTTCTCTGTGTGTGTGTGTGTGTGTGTGTGTGTGTGTGTCCTGCATGTATACCCACACACCAGAAGAGGGCATCAGATCTCATTACTGATGGTTGTGAGCCCTCATGTGGTTGCTGGGAATTGAACTCAGGACCTCTGGAAGAGCAGCCAGTGCTCTTAACCTCTGAGCCATCTCTCCAGCCCTATATATGAGATTTTTTGAAGTGAGCATAGAGCTGCAGTGCCTATAATCTCAGCACTTCAGAGGTGGAGTCAAGAGTTCAAGGTCATTTTCATTTATCCAGTGATTTTGAGGTCAGTTTGGACTTCTTAAGACTCTATCTCAAAACAAGCAAATTTTATTTTTTCTTTTTATAACCTGAGAACCCCTTGTTGGCTTTAGGACTATGAGAGCCAAAGACTTTGCTTTTGAATGATCTCCATCTCTCCTAGAAATAAACTGATTACTGGAAATACGTCATCATTAACAGCTGAATGAAGGTGAAAACTAAGTACTGTAGAACAGCTGTTCTTTTAGAAGGTCTCGGTCCTCTGAGCAACTGGACTTCCTACAGGATACATTTTGTCTATATTTTAAGGGATTTGAGAACTCCAGGTTCTTCTAAGTACCAAGAATAATATGTAGATATCCTCTGATTTGGGAACCAGGAAACAAGAGTCTACCATTAAAGCTGCCAGGCTTTTTGGGTTTTTCTAATCTTGGTAGTGGTTGTTGTTTTTGCTTGTTTGGTTGGTTGAGGTTTTTTTTGGTTGTTATTTGAGATAGGGTTTCTTTATGTAACCCTGGATATCCTGGAACTCACTCTGTAGACCAGGCTGGCCTCAAATTCACAGAGATCTGCCTGCTTCTGCCTCCCAAATGCTGGAACTAAAGGCGAGCACCATCACTGCCAGGCCACCCTTTGGTTCTCAATGTGGAGGCAGTGTGATTAATTGACCAGATTGATTGTTAGACCTTGGTTAAGTTACTAACAGAGCATTTTCAAGTTCATTGAAACTGGGCAGAATGCTTCATCTATCTGGGCTTGAGTCCTCTATGAGAGACTTAGCTTGGATCGAATTATGCAATCTGTACTATCTTTGCAGTGTGCGTTAGTCACCAGTCTCCTTTGAACTTCTTCTATTCATTCCTTAGTTACTATGACTTAATAACTAAGTTACTGTAGCTTAGTTATCTTAGTTACTACTAAGGTCTAGTTAATATGTGATTGTGCTATTGCCCATGACCTTACTTGTATTCTTGGCAGGGTGAGTGCTTCCAGGCTTTGCGTTGA